TTTTCTTTTTCTAATTCAAATTTAATATTTTCTTTTATTTCATTAGCTTTATTTATAATTGTTTTTTCATCTGTCTTTCTTTTATCAAATATTATAATACAATCATCTACATACCTGCTATAAAATTCTATTCCTTCTATATTTCTAATCTGTTCATCTATTTGTATCATTGATATTTCTGCCAGTTTTGGACCTATGCAATAATTTATTATTGTCAATTTTAGAATTTTAAAAATTATTGTCGGGAAACTAAGTTTGTTTATTGTTTAAATTTTAGAAATTGTTTGTTAAATACCTGCTGAGGAGGGACATACAAGTCCGAAATGCAAATTGTATGTGTCCAGGTAATCATAAATAAACCAATTTTAATCTGTGTGACTGTGTTGCTATAATTTTATACACCAGTATAATAAGTCCTATTAATAGAAATACACGGTTATGGTGTTTGAAAGAACAATTTGATTAAATTAGGACATTGACGCAGATTAATTAACAAAAACCTATTTAAATGGATCTATTTATAGTTATATTATTTCAGTATTTATCGTAATCATTAAATAATTAATTTCATTTTATTTTTAAATTCTACAGTGGACCACAAAGTTCCATTTCAGAAATTAATTCGACTGATGTTGAGGTTTACTCTGATGGAGACGTATTCTGGGCCATACCCACTTCATTAATTGGTAAATGTTATTTCAATTATGATGATTATCCATTGGATGTAGCAAAATGCAAAGTCAGTTTGGAAACTTGGACTAACAGAGGTAGTGATGTCAATTTGTTCATTCCTAATCCTGAACCGTATCTGGAATATTTTAACAACGGTAATCCTTATTGGAATATGAAAGACTGTCAGATAGATAAAAGAGACATGCAATACCTAAATAACTTTTATCCAATAGTAAAATTGACATTGTTACTTACAAGACGACAACCAATTGCACAATATCAGTTACAGTGGATAATTTCTGTTATTGTTGTATTATTGACTCTGTGTATGTTTTGGATTCCGGCAGACATCAGGCAGAAACTAACATTAGGATGTGTGGTGATGATAATATTAACCGTTAGTCTTGTTACTATCACATCAACTGTAAAAGTACCTCAAGTCGCTGAACTTATAGGTAAGATATTAATAATTTAATTAATATTGCGCCTAGAACAAAGTCTCTTTTGCAATTTAAAATATTTACAGAATTAACAATGTTCTAGTTGAATGTTTTTCAAATGCGGTCCAAGGCGCGCTGGTGTGCTCCAAAAGATAACTAAATTCTCCACAAATATCCTGAAAGTAGGCCTATATTTTAAAACTGAGAAACAATTTTTGCAAAACAGAAAGATCGTGGATGTAATAAATCTATGATAAATTAACAGTTAAATTAGATCTATAGAGCTTCAGTTAATATAGTACACAACTATATATAATTTAAGCTATATTAATATATCTTTAATTTTCTATATGAAGGGCAGCGCACACTTTAACAACTGTTTTTCTGCATCATAAATAATGTTAAATACTACAGTTTATAGTAAGATTTATAAGCAGAATTTAGAAATTTGCACATGTTAAATAAAATCATTTGCGTATCCTGTAAAGGGTAGTTTCAAACCATCTTTAATAATTATAAAAACTAAATATATATATATTTTTGTATATAATATATATATATTATATACAATTATTTACAAATACAAATTTTTAAGAAACAACTAATTACAAATTCTCAGCAGAACGATTTTGAGATGCAGCAGTCATCCACATCTTTTAGGTAAATTCATTATGAAGATTTAATATTTAATTATGATTTGAAAATCATGTTTATCATTGATTTTTATGAATTTTTCTGTTTACTGTTTTCTCCCTGTATGGATTAAGAGAGTTACTTTTCAAGCTCTTTGTGAATTCGGCAGGCATACGATGGAGGCTCAAGTTGTGTGGGACATTGCACCCGAAAATGACCTGCTCGGACTCGAACTATGAGCTATGGTTTAGAAAAAATTGACTTAATCATTGTAACTGCCGTCTCCGTACATACTTGAAAGCGTTTTTCTTCTAAAGTATCGGAGGTCGTAAATTTACGCGCACCCACCATTAATTAGCAACACGTTGCTCGGTTGGACATACAAAGCTTTTGCTGCTTTAGATATTGTTTAGTTGGCAATATGCAAACGAATAGAACTATAAAATCCTGTACAGTCTCTGCATAAAACGCGAAGTTAGAACTTACCTCAGACACTCTGAAGAAACAGGTTCTTTCGCGTTTGGATGCAGTAATGACAGGCTGACAATGACTACTTTCAGAAAAGTTCGATTTTGTTGTCGGATTGTCATAACCTGATATGTTCGTGGAAACTGCAGAAATGTGGAACGAGCGAAAAGGCCAATCTGTATTTCGACGAACTGCTAGCAAAAGGTTTATATTACATGGGTTCATACAAGAGAAAGAGAAAGTTTGGACAGAAGCTCAATAGCGGAAGGTGATTTTGTCTGACAAATCATCTTTGTCCTATATAGAAATTTAGGATGTACAGTCATTCGTCGGCCAAACAAAAGACTCACTCAAAACTGTGATGCAGGAAGTCAACTTTCCAAGCAAGGTTCAAATGTGAGGTTCAAGTTTTAGCATTTTGGCATTGGTGGTTCAGCTCTTTTCTGATGGGACTTTCAATCTTATCAGGCAATTCTTGAACAGCATTTACTGTCTTCCATAGCCCATCTTCGGCCGCAGAGAGGTGCGATCTTTCAGCGAGATCCCGCCAAGCCGCATATTGTGCGCTCCATTAGTGCTTGGCTTTCCCAAAATCAGGCCCAAGTTCTCATGATTCAAATTCGCTCTATCTCAGTCCGATCAAGGATCTTTCGCGTGTTCTCGAGAAACAGGTGCTGAAATGCAAATTGCAATAAGAGATCAGCTGAAAACGAATCTTTAAGAAGTATGGACCAACGTTCTACAAGTCATTTTCCGTGACTAGGTGAGGTGCCAACGTGTACGCTGCAAAGTGAAGATCCACAAAGTTGTAATTGTATGTGAATGCTGAGTGTGCAAAAACATATAGCTTACTAAATTTATTTTAGAGGAATAATGCTTTAAGGTGTGTATTGGAGACTCCTGTTACAAAAATTGAGCCAATGTTTTTGTAAGCCGTAGCTCAAGTAGTTTAATTTATTTACTAATTAAGCGAAGTTGCAAAGGAGTCCAGTTTTTTTTACCATTTATCACAATCACGAATGCAGTGCGTGTATATTTATTGCTACGGAAAATAGAAATAGATCCATAGTAAGATATGTCTGATATCTGAAGAATAATTTACCAAAAAAATTTTAGTTTAATTCAATTTCATAAAAACTTTTGAAAATTTTTAGTGATTTACGATTCGAAATTATTTATTTTAGCTTCTAACATTTTAATTTAATGTTTATCGTTCTAGCTAAACCTATTCACAACACAATGTTCGTCGTCTTAGTGGCTATTGTATTCGAGGTCATCATCATTAATTTTCGATACATTCAAGACTATGAACCGCCCGAATTTATCCTCAACATATTTTCAGGAACCATTGCTAAATTATTAATAATTAATTCAGTTCGCACGGAAGAGAAACCAATGGACAAAGTGAATTTGTACGAAAATCAAGACGAATTGGCTCCTCTTCAACGACTAACGAAAAACGAAAACTGGCAAATAATTGCTCAAATTGTAGATAGAATATTGTTCATTTTTTACGTTCTATTGCTTAGTTCTATACCTAAAACAATATAAATTTAAATTTTAAGTGTTTTCTTCTAATTTACACATAGATGATTATTAGGAATGTTCTTTTAATTGCAAAATATGTTTTATTAAGTTTATTGTATGCTTATGTATGTAGTTAATAATATGTCATTACTAAATATCTGAAAGAAACGTTACTGTCAATTGTTTTGACATGCGGATTCGAGTCCAACTAGGATGCCCATGACTTTTTATGGTTAATAAAGTTGCGACACAGTTTCACTTCCTTGTAACTTAGTTATGTAATTAGAAAATATGAACAAAACAGCGCTAAAATCTATCCTTAAAACAACTAGCAGCCATTTTTTTCATCAACGAGCGAATGCCAGTTTCCTGTAGAGGTATACACAAATAATTATGCACCATTAATAAATATATTAACCTACTTTTTATCAGCATTTACAATTTTTTGAATAAAATTCATCTCTATCCTTAATATTAAGTTTTTTATCATTTTATGTTAATTAATAATATAAAAGTTATTATTTTATAACATCTCGTGACGTCATGTTGCCGGGAATGTTTCGCAACTTGTTGCTGTATTTTTTTGTTTTTAAGAAACAATAAGACGTTTGCACAGTTAAAAAAACGAACCTGTCCATGTACTTTTTTCCTTTTTTTACTTTTTCGGGTTAAGAAATCTCAAAACGTCAACTACCGGAGAATTTGATACTATTCAACTACCGTGTTATAAAGTAAAAGTATATTAAATTGATAATGAAATTGTATTTTTCTTTTTTGAGATTAAATTAAGCTTATTGTTTGCATTTGTAGTCCTACAGGAAAATCACGAGATTAAAAATGAAGGCCTTTAAAACGTTAGACACACCGAAAATACATTTTTAAAACTAAAAATTGCTATCTTCGCCTACGTTTTGTACCAATGTCGGATAGACACAACAGTTAAACACAGTATTTGACTTTATTTATGTTCTTTAGTCGTATAATTACTAATTTATTTCTTAGCGGGTAGCTACATTCACATTTTTTTCAAAAGTTGTCGGTCTTAAATTCTAAATCTCTAGTACTCGGTGCTAAATTAGGTTCGTATCCAAAAGTTTATCGTAAAATTAATCAGGGAGGTATCGCCATCGTAATATCCAGTATTAAATAATACAGTCGGACTCATTCGCTCATTTATTCAGACTCTGGTTCCCATCTTCAATGTCTGTCAGTTACCAACCGGTGGATAACACCTCCGAACATACACTTGTCTGTATTTTCTTTGCATGACTAAATAGCACTATCCGTATAAGTTTCAGCATTGTTTTTCAAACATCCCTTATATCGGTAGCCAGAAACTTTCACAGGAAAGCTTCTATAAATTGTAGTGTGTACTAGTATATCTATTGTACCACATCCAATTTAGCCATTATTCAAAATTATCGAGTGACATTTCCACTTTCCAGGACGAGGATCTAAGGGTTGGATTTTGGAAAGCGATGTCGGTGTTATGTGTTGTTTACGGCGTGATATGTAAGTGAATGGATGCGATGAACAAATTAGATAATGATTCAGTTTTTAATGTTATCATGAAGGGTGTTAGTAAGGAAGTTGTAATGAATATGAAGAAACAACAGAATATTCACTTTATGAACTTCGCGCTAACAGATACATTAAATAATACATACTTACCTCATGCTGAGAATGTCGTAATCAAAATGGTGCTAACACTAAAGCGAGGTTGGTTGATACATTAACCTGCGTCAATCTTTTATTACATGGCAGATCGAAGATGTTCTAGTTAAACTGAAGACTGTAATAATCTTTTATTCTAATTGAACCATGATTAATTTTTCTTAATTAAATTTTCTTAATTAAATATAATTTCGATCGTAGAAGTCACACTGAATTATTAATGTTTAAAAGTAGAGATAAATGCATAGCACTTACAATACTTGAAATTATCTCCATTGTTGTCGATAAGTATTGTTTTTTAATAATAAGAGTCGAAACAACTGTTGGAATGATTGTTTATGTCTTAAGTTTTTTAATTATGTAAAACATTTCGAGATATATGAATATTAAGTTTTTGTGTTAAAATAACTGTAATTATATAAGCTTTTTAAATAATTTATGATGATATAAATAAGTTTAGTTTAAATATTTAAATTTATTTATATTATTTATAAATGAAGTGCTGAATTAACTGTTACGGTAATTCAAATGTCCACCGTCTCATTATTAGAATTCTACATTTCTAAACATCATCTTAACATCATTACAAAATAGAAATTTTCATTTATTTTTCAAATTATTTTTTAAATATATCATCGTTTATATTCTCACGTTCATATAGACTCAAAAATTTTGATGAGAGGTTTATGAGTTAGGGAGATTGATGCTATTAAATCTTCTTGGTAAACATGGTACTGTACTGTATGTGAGGTTTGCCGATTGGGGAGAAAGTGTCGCGACAATCGAGCGGTCAGCACTGTCGTGTGGGAGTGAAAAAACTTACTGAGACAGGTCCTCCATCGCAAACTATTTATTAAATATAAAAATTTCGCTTACAACTACTGTTTTTCTTCGGCGTAAGGCCTATCCGTAGAGTGAATCAGTTTGTAAATAAAGTTCAATCTTTTCTACGATCTTCTCTCCTTTTGGCGAAGATGATGAAGAAAACGTCGGCTCCGGGGCGCACAGCACAACTTGAAATGATGATTATCGTAGCAGATTACCCTTGGCGAAACTTGCTGGAACGGGATGGGGAAAACTTCTTTCGGAACGACGACCAAATTCCCGTTGTTGAACCGCAGGAATAATCCAGAAGCGGAGCACACCGAACTTAGAACCAAGAACGTCACAATTTTTTGCGCGGTTTTTATAAGTTTTTTCTGGGTTCCAGATCGAACATTTCGATAGGTCGATTCCGATCTACCCCCTCTCTCTAATTGGTCCCCCTCCTCGTTACGAATTGTAACGAGATCGGTGCCCAGATCGTGGGGTGAGTCAACTCCGATTGACAATTTGATTCCTATCGAAGACGTTCGATCTAAGTACTCAAATTCATCCATTGTTTTAACCTGAGTAGTTCGATTTTCTTAGAAATTTTTACAGATATGTCCTTATATGGAGATAAAATATTCATTTTGCGTTTGATGGTTTCTTTTTACAATATAAAATAATCATTATAATTATAATTTTTTTTTTCATTCGAAATTAAAATATTTTTCGTGCACGAATTTCGATCCACTTCCGGAGCCTCACATGTACAGTACATGTGTCGTATTTTGAGTGGGGAGGACTTAATAAACTGGAATCTATGCAAAAAACGTAATATTTTCCAGAGGTGGTTTCATTCTAGTATACATTTAAAATGAAACAAAAAAAAATTAAAATAGATTTTCTTTAATGAGACAGTGTTGAGCTGAGTTGATACTGGCACTGATACAGATGCAGGATCATTGAGAGTGATCACTGACCCAGCAATCACTAATCAGGCATTAATTTCGGCTAATGTAATCTCAAATTTTCAGATTGCCTCACTACTGTTCGATGTGCAGCTGGCACTACTTGCTACATAAACACTGTTGCGCGTCAGGATTAAGTGTATTCTAACCTAATCCACTCTGTCATCCGGCAATATCACTAATCCAGCATACTGCAGGTCTCGAGGATGCCGTATTAGTGATAGTCGACCTATACTAAAAATTGAATTGTAACTTCGATCTGGTCAGAAGAGAATTATGTGTTAAGTGACCTCTGAGTTTAGATTTTGTTCGCATGTTTTTGTTCCTTCAAACCTTACCTTCTAAAAGCTTCAATGTCGTCATTTTTTCCAAAGTAGAAAAAGATGGATTGCAATTGGTAATTGAACAACTAATGCAAGATAAATGAACTAAAAACAGAAACTGTGTATCATGGTAGACCCTTAACTAACAGTGCACTGTTTGATAGTTCTCTCAGACAGTATAAAATGTGCGAATTCATCGTTTAATTAAACAAATGGTTTTCATGAATAGGGGTTGATATTTTCAATAATAAATTAGTCGTTTACTTAGCATTGAATGAATATACAGCCCAAGATACACAAATTCTTCTTCATTTTAACTTTATGTGCCATTCATATCTGAATTCTGACTCGTGAGTGAATTGTTAAGTAGCTAATCAATCTGATTACGAAAAAAATGGACCATATTAAAACTTAAATTTCCTTGAATGAGAAGGTAGTCACTGAAAAAGGTACATATTTCGTTTAAGGATCTGTTGCAAACAGGAGATAGAGCTTACTTCATATAAGATGTGTCGACAAGTTCCTAAATGTGTATTATTTATTTCATTCATAAAACAATGATTGTTGATTTGTTCATTTGCATTTCAAATTTTCAGATAAATTTCATTTCAAGTCACAAAACTCTTCGTATGCTC